TAACTAAAAATCACAGGGCCCCCATACAAAATGTTGCTATGGGGCCCTGTGATCTCTAGTTACGCCCCTGTTCACCTCTATATACCAATCATTGCTCTCCACCCCCGGCGGCGTTGGGCTCCACCCCGGGGCACAGTTTGGCTTTGTACTCAGATGGGACTGCTGGGATCAGTGGGATTTCCGTGCGGTCTGACTGTTTGTTCAAAGAGCTGCGCGGCGGGCGCACTGGAGGATGATGACCCCGGCATTGTACAGGAAAGTGTTTGCAGAGCGGGGCCCTATGCTGGTGAGCCGGGGGGGCCCGGCTACAGGCGGAGAACTTCTACAAACGTTGCTCTGCCGGGTTATTAGCAGAGAAAAGTGCTGGAAGGACAAGATGGAACGGACGGATTCCAAGAGAGGTCGCCATGAACAGAATGAGTGTGCGGGGAGGAAAAGCAGAATGTATCCAATTCAGATTTATTTATTTATTATTTCTGGCATTTCTATATCACCGGCAATGTACACAACGCTTTACATACTGTACAGTCACATCAGGCTAAAGCCGAACTCCGGAATAAGCCAATATTCCCTAAATACGAGCCAGGTGTGTGCTTCTTGAGTCTTGCTGAGCTTTGAGTATTTCTTCCAGATCTGTGCCGTCTTCCAGTGTGACACTTGGAGCTAGCTGTAATGAAGACCGCTCACTGCTCTCTCTCCTTGTGCAGGGTGACTGGTCTTGTCTCCGCCCCCTCCGGTAATAAAACCGGTCACTGCTGTTCTTTCTCCTTGTGCAGGGTGACTAGTCTTGTCTCCGCCCCCTCCGGTAATAAAGACCGGTCACTGCCGCTCTCTCTCCTTGTGCAGGGTGACTGGTCTTGTCTCCGCCCCCTCCTGTAATAAAACCGGTCACTGCTGTTCTCTCTCCTTGTGCAGGGTGACTGGTCTTGTCTCCGCCCCCTCCTGTAATAAAGACCGCTCACTGCTGCTCTCTCTCTCCTTGTGCAGGGTGACTGGTCTTATCTCCGCCCCCTCCTGTAATAAAACCGGTCACTGCTGTTCTCTCTCCTTGTGCAGGTTGACTGGTCCTATCTCCGCCCCACTCCTGTAATAAAGACCGTTCACTGCTGCTCTCTCTCTTCTTTTGCAGGGTGACCAGTCCTATCTCCGCCCCACTCATGTAATAAAAATCGGTCAATGCCGCTCTCTCTCTTCTTGTACAGGGCGACTGGTCTTGTCTCCGCCCCCTCCTGTAATAAAGATCGGTCAATGCCGCTCTCTCTCTCCTTGTACAGGGCGACTGGTCTTGTCTCCGCCCCCTCCTGTAATAAAGACCGGTCACTGCCGATCCCTCTCCTTGTGCAGGGTGACTGGTCTTATCTCCGCCCCCTCCTGTAATAAAGACCGGTCACTGCTGCTCTCTCCTTGTGCAGGGTGACTGGTCTTGTCTCCGCCCCCTCCTGTAGTTTCCTGTAGTGGGTGGAACCTTTTGGATCCCTCTCACAGCTCTGCTCTCTGCACAAGCTATGTACAGCACGGTGATGATGTCACTGCTACCTTTACAAGGTGATATCTGCATTTTCAATGGCATTTGGTGCACACAGAGTGGATCTATATCCTTTGCGGATTTTGTGGAATATATTTCAATGAAAGCTTGTGTGCCCGGAGTTCGGCTTTAACGTCTCGCAGGCAACTAAGATGAACCCTTGTTCTCTGCATGGAAGCAGCAGTCTCTCTGCAGAGGTCTGAGCCCCCTTTGCTGAGTCGGAGTTTGAGTTCTTCCATCAGCAAAGCTCACGCTTGATCCTGATTAGAGAGCTCTGGCAGGGGTATGTCGGACCTCTGCAGGGTGCAAGGGTTCTTCTCCGCAGCATGCTGGCAGGGCACAGGCTCTCCTACTCTGCACATCTTTTGTTTTGATGCACTTCGAAGGTATTTAGCTTAGAAGGTAATTTGGGCTTTAAATGACACATTTCCATATTTAAAGGAGAACTATGGGGTTAAGTCTTTTCCCCATAGTTCTCCTAAGAGTAACGGGAGGACACAAACTAGCGTCCTCCCGTCACCCTAAGCTCAGTATATAGGGAGCTACAGCTCGCGGTATACTGAGACGCCGCAGCGGATCCAGACAATTAAGTCTGGATCTGCCCAGCTGCGTGAGTGACAGCTGGCTCTGCCTATCTAGAGGCAGAGCCAGCTGTACCCGCCCCCTCGCCCGTCCGTTCCACCAGTTAGCGCTGGAGAATCGGAGCGGGGGGAATCCCTGCAGGGAGCTGTGAGTGACAGTCACGGCTCTCTGCAGGGATAGATCGAGAAGTGAGCGAGCGACGGTATGCGTTCCCTCCCTTCCCGATCTATTGAGCCGACGTGTGACAGTTTCATTGTCACAGGTCGGCTCAGATTATGAGGCTGAGTGAAAATCACCTCACCTCATAATTCTCCTTTAAAGGGAGAACTATGAGGGGGGG